CCCCAGTGCCACAAGTTTTCCCATGAAGAAAATTCTTTCTATTCTATTTTCATTTCTAGGCTCTAATGTCACCATAAGTGACGAGTGGGAAAAAAATTCATAAAGTCTCCTCCAGTTCTCCAAGCTTGATACCCTGGAGGCAGCTTCTTTGAGCTTTTTTCTCTCTTAGAAACATAAGGTGGGAGGGGGTATGAGTTTTAGAAACTCAGAGTTCAAAAATAGGACCCTGCCCAGCTCTGTGTCTTATGTTGCTTTTGAGGTTCTCCAGCATTATAACTTCCCAGGGCTCTAGGTGGGCAAGGGGTGCTGATCTGGTAGCTGGGTCCCTGGAAGTCAGAGCTGAAGACCCCTTCTTACAGAGCAATGGCAGTGTGGAGATACTTGCAGTGGGCTTTCTCAAAGCTCCGTGACAGACCATTGGCCTGAAGCTAGAGTATTGCCCAGTCTCCCAGTAATCGAAGGGCTGAGGTCTCCTCTTAGAACTGTCTCCTAACTTAGTCTGGGCTTCTCAGGAAGTGCTCTGTGGCCTTAATATGAAAAAAATTGGGAGAAGGAAAAAATACCTTTATACAGTCTAATGTTTAAAAAAAATATTTTTTTGGTATCAGGGATCAAACTCAGGCCCTTGCACTTGTGAAACAGGCAGCGGAACCACTGAGCCAAATCCCCAGTCCTAGCATTAAAATTTTATAAATGGAGATACTGAGGCCCAGAGACAGGAAGTTGGTTTTGCCCAGAAATCCATGGAATTCTGGGGCAGAAGACAGGATGTTTCTCTCTGCTATTGCAGGTGACTCCCAAGGTCACCTGGTAAAGGTGGACAGATAGGGTAGCCAGGGGAAGAGGAATCACTCTTGCTTCACCTGTATCGCTAGGGATATAGGTTTCCCCATGGTTGGGCTCATTTCCTGAGTGATCACAGTTGCACCAGCTCTGGGCCACAAATGAATGGAAATACCCTCAGGGGAACAAGTTAGACTTGGGATTACTGATACACTTTGAACCAGCAGAAGCTGGTTTGCTATGCTGCACATCTCTACAGAGTAGTAGAAAACTATAGTGCTGATGGTGGTGGTGTATGTGCATAGTGAAGTGCTGAGAAATTCCTGAAAAGTGACCTTCTTACCAGCTCTCATTTTAACCCTTGTCACCAATCAGAATAATCTCTCTCTCTCTCTCTCTCTCTCTCTCTCTCTCTCTCATGTGTGTGTGTGTGTGTGTGTGTGGTTTTCTTTCTGGGAGTCAAGAGTACCAATGCTCATGCTTTGTCTGAATAGCTCTCTACCCTCAAGGGTCAATGGAGAGGCCACATAACCAAATGACTGATGCTTTTGTGGATCCCTCAGAAGTACCTCTGAGTCAGCTGCAGAAGACTCCATGGCTGACCCTATCAACCGGTTCATCCCAAAGGTGTGCAAGGGAGTCCGAGTGGTGGTTGCTGTCTGTGGTTCTGAAATCCGTATCTTAAAATGGGGTTTGCATGTTTTACTACCCTACATGTCTCTACAGAGCAGTAGAAAACTATAGTTATAGAAAACCATCCACGGATATGGATGGCTCTTTAGAACCCTTGAATGTCTTCTGGGTTCCTCTTCGATCCAAGCCAAGTGATCACTCCACCCCTGCTCCTTGGGAGCATGAGCATAAAAAGGAGAAAGCCTATCTCAGACCTCTTTCTTTCTGAGCCAAGAATATGACCTTGTTCCTTTGACTGGAGGCAAAGCTAGTCTAAAAAGAGGTTCTGAGGTTGGGTATGGTGGTGGATGCCTGTAATCCCAGCACTTGGGAGGCTGAGGCAGGAGGATTGCTGTGAGTTCGAGGCCAGTCTAGGCTACAAAGTGAGTTCAAGGCCAGCCTGAACAGCACAGCAAAATTATGTCTCAAAGAATAAAAAAAGGTTCTGTTGAGGAGAGCTCTACACTGGAGTAAAGACAAGTGGATTCTGCAGTTCACTGGCATTGTGTCCATATGCAGTCATTTTTCTTCTGGTCCTTAGTTTTTCATCTATAAAATGAAAGCACAAATTAGATAACAGATCCCTCTCCAGTCCTGTAACTCTCCTGGAATGTAGAAGACTAGCATTGGGAACTAGGACGACTCTGAGGACCTTTCCCTTTCAATTTTCCAGAGATTCAGAGTCCAAACGTCCAGTATCACTTCCTGAAAGTGTCTCCCACCCTGGCGCTAGCCTGGATTCTAGGGGTGCTGAGGTGTCCCAGTATAATCAAGCTTCTGGGGGGCTGGTGTCAGGAGAGGGGGAGGAACAAGGAGAACATGTCAGCTCTGGAAGCCTCAGAAAGCAATCCTGGATTAGGGGATTAGACACTCCCGCCCCAGGAGAAAATCCAGTCCCCAACCCCAGGTGGCCTCGTTTCCCCTCCCCCACCGTCCCTGACCAGCCTGGACCAGCCTGGACCAGCCTGCCCTCCCTGGAGGCTGCCCTGTCCCCAGTGGAAAGTGAGCGCTCCCTGAAATCTCACGGCTGCCTCCTCTCCTTTCCGCACCTCATCCGTGGGTCACTCTATGTCGGAAAGTCCCTCTCGGTGGACTCCAGGGACTTGTACTGGGCCTGGGGCGCTGAGACTCCTGACAGCCTAAGCATAATGAGAGTTCGCTGGAACTCAGCAGGTCCCACTCCACTCGTTCTGGGATAGAACGGGTCCAACAGTCAGACCAGTGACCCGAGCCCCTCAAGGAGTGGTCCCCGGCTTTGCCAGGAGGCCCTGGACTCTACACGTCTCCGGCTCCAGCCTCTTGAACAGAGATATGGGAAAAGGACTGGTTCTCCTCCCGTCAGGGCCGGCCTCTGGCTTTGCAGACAGGCTCCCCAGGGCTCCACATTCCACGCCCGCCCCCCTCCCCC